GGGCAAGGCAAAAAGCGGGGTGATGGGGGGGGGTGCTTTGCCCTGCCCCAGCCCCGCCTCTCGCTGTACACCGCGCTTTCAAGGCTGTACACCGCGCTTTCAAGCATCCCCATCCCTTTGCACCCCGAGCCAGCAGCCCAGCGAACACATCAGGCAGCGTCTGCCCTTGGGTGGGGATGGTGCCCGCGGGACGTGGGAACCGGGGGGGGGATGCGATGCCCGTGGGCACGGAGATCTGCGTGCTCAGCATCTCGGATGCTCTAATTTCATTTGGGTGCCCCAGCTCGGGGAGTGAAGTCGTCCAGACGGAGCGATGTCCGGCCTCATCCCGAAGGCGATCGTTCACGCGGGGGCTAACGCACTAATCCACTTACAGAATTAATTGGGATCATTTCCCTCGCGTTCCCAGGTGGATAAAGTCCCGCGGGAGGGGCAGGAGCCGGGCTCCGAGGGCTTGTGGGGAGACAGATGCCTCCGAGCTTGAAGGGTCGCGTCAGTCAAATAATTTACTTGCAGTTTTTACGGCAAAGCTGGGCTGGAAGCTCAGCTGGGAGATGATTCATTTCCTTGGGGTTCCTCGGCCCTGCAGCGAGCAGGGGCTGCTGTCCCCGTGGGGACGGCACGGGGAAGGACGTGGCAAAAGCCTGCTGCTGAATCCCCCCTGGATGCCTGCCAGCATCCCCCCTTGGAGCCAGCACCCATGGGTGCTCCCACAGCGATGGCAGGATCCATCCGGGCTGCAGATCTGGCCTCCCCAACCCAGGACCCCCATCCTCAACCTGGGAGCCGGGCAGGACACCCAACCCCGGCTCCCCTTGCAAGGCAGGGTGGGGGCCCTGCAGCCTGGCTCCGCGTCCCTCCGGGAGCAAGATGCTCCCAGGTGCTGGGTATCGCTGCCTCGCTTTCTGTGCCTCAGTTTCCCCTTGGTACCCCCACAGGGGCTGAGCATCCCAGCGGGTACCTGGATGGATCCGGCCTCTGCCTACTCCGGGGGGGGCTCCTCCTCACCCTGGGGGGTCTCTGGGCAGGGGAGCATCACCCTGAGCTCCCCCATGGGGGAAAAACCATCTCTGTCCATCGCCCAGGAGCGAGGCCGGGGGAATGGGCACAAGCCCCGAGGCATGAGACCCCCTGGTCTCCCTCCCTCCCCGTGGCAGGCGTGAGAGGAGCCTTTCCGGAGAGGAAGCCGGCCCGGATGGGATTTCTCTATTCCATAAACATAGGCGGGGTGGGGGGGGGGGGGGGCGGGGGGGGGCCGAACCCAGCTGCCGCGGCCAGCGAGGCTGAGCAGGGGGACGGATCTGTCCCAGAAATCCCTACCCGGCGCGCAGCCATCCCTCCCCGAAAAAAGCCACGTTTTTGCTGCCGGTGAATTCCCTCCGCTGGAAAAGATGCTTTGCCACCCTGGCAGGGTCCGTCGGAGCCTGGAGGGGCTGGGACAAGTTGGGGGGCTGTGCTGGGGGTTCCCATCCTTGCACGGCTGGGTACGGGATGCTGCCACCACTCTCCGAAAGGAAAAAGGGGGGAAAAAAATATAGGGTGCCGTTTTCCACGGGGAGGAGCGCAGCCTGTGGTCCGTCCGGCTGGGCCGCGGTGAGGTTTGGCTTTGCCGAAGCTGCGGGGGTTTGTGCTGTGCAGGGCCGCGCTGTGCCCTGGCTCGTGTCGGAGCAAAGACAAATTGCTTACTCTAATGAGATGAATGGCTTCATTAATCACCCAGTGGCTCCATCGGGAAATACAGAGGCAGATACAGCTCCAGCGTTGCACCGCGCCAGGGGATGCTGGCGTGCCAGCCGAGCGGGAGCCGGCAAAATCCCCGCCGGCACCACGGTCCCATGGGGCACCCGGCGGGGGGGGGGGGGGGGGGGTGGGATCAGCCAGTCGTTTCGGGTGTCTGGCAGAGCAAGACCAGCGTCCCCATCCTCCCAGGCCAGAGCAAAGGTGACACCGGTCCCAGATTGATGGTCCCACGGGGCCACGGCTGCTGTCTGCGCCGCAGGGAGCAGCGCAGGGGCAGGGACAGGGCGCTGTTCCCCTCCAGCCTGCTCTGCAGGAGCAGCACCCTCAGCTCCTGGGGTTGTCGGTGATGCCCAGCGCCATGCCGCGTCCCATGCCCCCTGGGTCTGGATGGGTACCAGGAGCTGCTTCCTGCCCCCTGCCCCTGGGTCTGGCCCCAAATTCCCCCCCAGCGCCCGTCTCCAAGCATCCCATTTCCACGCAGCGTTTTCCTACGGAGCTGCTCGGCACAAAGACCTCGGGATGAGGGTGTCAGGCTCTGCTCCGACAGCTGGGAAATGGAATCGCTCCACGCTTTCCCCCACTTCATTGAAGTTAATTAACCCTCCGCGCCCCCCCGGGAAGCGTTATTATTGCTCTGCCTCCAGGGAAGCCGGGATGCAGAGCAGGCTCTGGCACCGGCGGATGGGGAAGCCTCTCCCGGGAAGTGTTTTGGTCCCCTGCCCTGATGGGTGCAGGTCCGGGGCTGCGGTGAGCCCAGCTCGGTGGGTCCCGGTGACATCCCCAGTGACAGGGATGGGGTGGCCGATGGCTCTGTCTCCCCACCGGGTGCTGGAGCATCCCACTGCGCCAGGGATGTGTGTGCCAACACGGCCTTAGCCAAACACCCCGGCCCAGCCAAGTGTCCGTGGGAGCCGGGGATGGATCCGGAGAACCCCCCGGCAGCTCCCAACTGCAGCCCCCAAATTGGGGTGGTGCCTGGATGGGGCCCGTGGTGCAGAGTGCCAGGGGCGAGACATGGGGGACCCCGTCCCCTTGCTGCCAACCGCGGCATCCCAAGGGATGGTGAAGCAAGCTCGGCTCGCCATGCAAGTGCCCGGCTTTGGGAGGCTAATTAGCCCCTTAATTAGCTCCCTGGCAGGGGTGCAGCCTGGATCCCAGGCTGCGGAGAGCGTGCCAGTGCCGCTGGCACTCGGAGGTGCTCCCCGCCGGGTTTGGGGATGCGGGGGGATGGATCGTGCCCCCCCATCCCACTGCTCTCCGACAGGATGCAGCGGGTGCACGCTGCCTGCGTGTTGCCTGCAGTGGGGACCCATCCGTGGGAGCCGGAGCAGGGATAACCCCCCTCCCTGTGCGCTGCTGCTGGGGGGCATGCACAGGCAGAGGCTGCCCGCGCCGCAGGGAATGGCAGCGTGCCTGCACCAGGTCACCCTGAGATGCTGGCGGGGGGGACACCCCCATCCCCTCCGTGCCCCCCCCCT